TGTAGCAAATCCCAAATCTGTTTGGAAGACTTGCATCCCATGATACGATTATGTTCATGGGGTCCAAGTCCACAATGCAAATACTTTATTGCTAAAGCATGCAGTTCAAGTTTCTGATAATATTCTTTATCATAATCAGAAATAGATTTAGAAACTACCTCATGTTTGTCATTGGTTGCAGTTATTTCAAAATCACCAGTTTCAATAACACGCCAAACCTGGTAATTTTCAGCCTTGATGAAGATCTCCATCCTGTTCTTCCAGTAGGCATAGAAATTACCATTGAACATAAGTGGACGTTGGGTTGAGTACCCTTCTTCAAGTTTCTCCTTGTAATTCATCTCTCCAGGAACTTACTCAGCAAAGTTATCTGCTTGCAAGTGAGAACCTTGCTCGGATACCAATTGTTAGTTGAGACGAACACTACAAGAGGGGGGTGAATTTTAGGTGAGTTCCTAGTGACTACTTTTTCAAATATAAAACAGAATAAAATAGGAACTTGCAATGCACACAGGATTTTACGAGGAAACCTTCTAGTGCCCAACTAGAAGTAAAACCTCGACCCTACCTTAGGGATTTCGTACACAAACAATTTCACTATAATAGGGCAAACACCAAGTTACAACCTATTATAATCAAACCTCTATTCACAAGTTCCTGAACGAACTTGCTGTAGAATAGGATTCTATTCTACCCAGTCTAAGTCACACACTCAGACTCTCTCTCGTACTCCCTAAGCACAGATCTTGTTAACTTCTCAACAGAAGCTCTCTCTCTCTCTCTCTGTATGCAATGATAACAAAAACACTCTCACCCAAATAACCCAAACCAATTACAAGTAAAGACACCTAGTATATGATAGGCAAGCTATGCATGAAACCCGAAACTAATATGACAAGATGATAAGCTTGGCAAACTTACACAATTAAAGCTCTGTAAATTCTTCACGCATAAAACTCACAGAAAACCTAAACTCTTTTTTTTCTATACTATTTATACAAGTATTACTTGTATAGCAAGTAGGTTTTCTTAAGGATAAATAAGTTAAACTTAACTTATCTTTATACACGGTTTTTATGTAAATCATTAGAAGAAAATCTTTTCCGAAAAATAAGATAGAAAGATTGAGTTAAAAAGCATAATATCTTTTTAACAAACTGATTTTAAGAAATAAACATTTAAATAAAATCTTTTTCGAATTCTATCTTTTATCTTTTTCGATTTTAATTTATTTGCCAAGCTAACTTGTCACGCTTCTAATAGACTTCATGCATATCCTACTTAACATATTTAACAATGAATCTAGAAGATAAAATCTTTAACTAAATCATTGTTGCGCCGCACTCCTGTACTGGTAGGTTTACTTGGGCTCCACGCTTAATAAGTTCCTCCAAAGATCTTAGCCAGCCATCTTCAAGTTCTTGTAAAGGAACGTTTCTGTTAGGGAACTCAGTTCTTGTGAGGGAACACTTCTTCTATTTCGAATAACCTTCTTGAATAAAGAACTTCTTCAAGTCTTCTTAGTTTCAGTTACTTCTTTCATCTCCAAGATCAATTTCACCTAAACTAAACAAACACTTGACAAACCTTTATTAAATGAGTTTGCTGTAGTTTAAGTTCCTCATCATCAAAACCTTTAAACATCAACAATATGTACTATCCTACATTCCGAGAACTAACTTTTGAATTCTTGTCTTCTTTACAAGTTGTAAGTAGTAGAAATGGGCCGAATTTAATTTTTAGGTTGAACAATAAGAATATTAGTTAAACTTATGTAGAATTTTGTAAATTATTTGAATTAAATTCTGAATTACCTCACCAATGGCATGCGGACTATAAAATGGGTGACATATATCATGCTTTGACTGGTTTGCCTACTCCTGACCCCCAACATGCTAGTACCAAACCTATTCATCACCCTGTCCCAAAAATCTGGCAAAGATTTGCGGGTTTGTGTTTTTTAGGTAGGAAGGTAGGTTTATCTATTTTTGAGGAATTTATGTGAGTTTTTGAGTGCAAAAAAAATAAATATATGATCTTGGATCAAGATCTAAGCTAAAATAATCAATACAAAGTAAGATTATCTAGCAAAATAACTTGAGTCACTAGTCACATAGTCTAGAGAAACAAGGGTTTCAATCTACTCAACCACAAAGTTTGATAAAGATTGAGATTTTACCACAAAGGAGAGATCACAAAGAACTCAAAGAAGAGAAAAACTCTCATAATTTCAATATTCAAAACAAATCTATTCTATTACATCATAAAGTAACTCCTTTATAGGGAGGCACTAGTACTTGAAATAAAACCTTAAACCTCATTAAATCTAAACCATACAAAATAAAAGGCAAGGATTAATTACAAGATAGTAACTAAATAAATACAACCTAAGTCACATCCCACAAACGAGGACAATTATCTAAATAATTCAAATTAAGCTCAAATATTTTCCAATCTTGATCAAGTCAACAATAGTTAATTTAGCCCAAAAGTAGTGTCCATGCTCTCGCATCAGACACCTAAATGTTTCTCCCCAAAACAAAACCTAGTGATGAATACCTTTCACGTCATTTGATTATCGAACAAAGTGAAAGTGTGAAAAATCTAGTGATGCGGTTGTTTTTATTAAAATTTCTCTCTTTCTGTTTTTGAAAATATGCTCTATTTATGAAAATAGTCAGTCTAATTTAGTTTAGTCCATGATAAGGGTCCAATAATAGTGTAGTTGGATTGAGCTCACAAAGAGTTTTCCAAAGATATATTATAAGCCCAATTCCGATTAATAATGAGGAAGTTATGGCCAAAATACTAAATTGAGCCCGAAATGAATTTTATATGCGGCCCAATGATCAAAAGGAGGGCCTATTAATTATTATTCCTAAAGCTATTATGATTGACTTTAATCTTCTAGAATAATCTAGAAGGTTCTTTTAAATTCTAATGGAATTAGGATTGATAATTATATTTCTAAAGAGTTTTACTTGGAATAAAATAAGTGTTTTATGATGAACCCGGTTTTAATTTGATAAATGTGGAATTTACTGTTTTATCATATTAAGAACAGGATTTCGCATACAAAGCGCGTTTTATTTCTGACTCAGCGCAAGGCGACAAACCTGTCGCCAGGCTTGACGCTGGTTCCCGTCGTCTGGCGCTGGCTCCTATCGTTCGCGACAGGAGGTTTTGTATTCCGAATGAAACTTGGTTTCTTTTCTATCGGTTTCCGGACTATTTTTTTATAAATAGGGTCCTTGGCCTCCGTTTTCAAAGGACCTAGAATTCTCTAATTCTTTCTCTCTCTTTAAGCTAGAAGCTTATTCTTTCTCCCTCTTCCTAAATCTTCTTCTCTTACAAAATTCCACACTCACAAAATCTAGACACGCCTAGCCAAGTTCGAAGTTGCCTTCGCCCTAAACGTGAAAGCTTGATAATTTCTGAGGGTTTGGTCACAAATCTCTATTTCAATAATTTAAGTTAATTGTTTGATTTAATATTTTTCCTTAAAGTTACTAACGCGTGTATTTTGTTATAAGAAAGAGATAAGAGGCATCCAATTAAGTAATTTTAATTACTTTAATTGTTTTTTTGATATAGAAATCATGCTTTGATTATTTTGATTCCTAGTATCATGTTAGGATGTCTTCATGATTCCTAGTATCATGTTTAGGGTATTAACTAATATTTCTAATATCATTTATGTTTTTATGATGCTTTCTATTCTTTTTAATATTATGTTCGTATCATGTTAGGGATGAAGCTTTGATCTTTAATGTTTGGTGACATGCTAGGGTTTGTTATTAATCTTGTTAATATCATGCCTAGGATTTTGCTATTAATATTATGCTTTATTGTTAACATGGTTGTTATATATGATGACTGGTATGATCATTATTGTTCTTATTATTGTTGCTTGATATATTGTTATTGTTATTGCCTGATCACGCCTTTTATTAATGGTTAAAAGGAATTTGTACGTAATACTTTTAATAATCTTGTTTAGGCTAATATGATTTTAATTCAAGTGATCGCCAATAAAGATTTGTTTGTACATTAATATTCAATCAACATCGACAAACAGGTTTAGGGTTAATACATTGATTATATGTTAGTCAGAAAGCGCATATGAATACGACAAGAATAACATAGAGGCCTATTTTTAGGGCAAGTTCAATCTCTTTCAGGTTGGATTTGTACCTTCATCCTCGAATATTCAGTTATGGTTCCAGACCACTATGGAGTTAGAGATCTCATTTACATGTTCCTAAAACTTGTTGACGACTCTTTTACTCTAACTTTCTTCCATTTGGACGCTACCATACTTAAGTGTATGATCACAGTGGGGTTCAAGTGTGGGATGCTTGAAATATTCCCTACAACACTACTATTGCTCTTCCAAGAAAAATTTTATTAGAATTCGAGTACTTGATTCTCAAAAGAAGGATTATGTTGAAACTCAAGAAATTTTTACAACAATGGAGATTAGTCACACCCTTATGAAAGGACAGGATAGATGTGAAACAACTCCAATTTTGACGCAAGAAGATTTGACCATAGGTATTGTTAAATCAAGTGTCATCGTGTGAAAGTACATCGGTGCCCCTTCCAGTTGCTCCATTCCGCTCTCCATTGAAGGCTGCTACGAGCCCTAACAATTCCTCTCAGAATGTGATGATATTTGTTTCCTCTCGTCGTTTCAGAGCTAGAAAGAAAAGTGATTCTCCAAGGAATGTAAGTTCCTCGGTTTTTACCAACTCTTTATTTTACAGGTTGAGTGGCTCTAAAAATAAACGTCCTACCCTGTCGAATACTTCTAGTTTTCGAATAGAAAGTTGTTGTATGGTTCTACCCCTAATGTTCTAATGTGTGCTCTAGTTTAGGATTAATTTAGGATTCTGCTGATGTCAAAAAAAAAAACCAAAAAATGATGTCACAATGGAAGAAATTGATTTAGAATCATACTAACATAGCTATTGTGATATGCTATAAACACATCTTGAACATAGGAACCTGAAATGAGCAAATAATTCATTCATTTAAGTAGCACGAATTTGAATTTACAATTATCAAGCATTATTTATACAATACACTATATTTTTTTTTTTTTTGGTGTTTAGAGAGCCACAAGAGCGGGGGTGAGAATCGATCCCAGGATCTCCTGGAATCGGGAGGGAAGCTCTAACCACTTGAGTTATCCATCACTCTCATACAATACACTATATAAAACACTGCATATATACAGATCCACTGCAACTTTCGGCAGGATTTGGTTGCCCCTCCTCCTTCCTTCTCTTCCAAAGCTAAGAAGATAAAGGGACCCAGAGTATTCCTACAAGGAGACCTAAAACCCAGAAATATTATAAAACGCTAGCCCCATTGCCTGACACTCCATCTCTAAGGTAAACAGTAGACCCAGGTTGCTTGGACAAGATAATATTTCCAGCGTGATCTGTAGTTGTGTACCTCAGAAGATGGGGACCAGACACAATTCTGCAGGAATTCCATGTCTCAGCTGCTAAATTGACACCGTAATAGACCAGGTGATCCAATACACTATTCCCCATAACTGACCTGAAATGCCCAGAAAAGCAAAATGAGATGCAATATAACAAGCACAAAGTACAAATGTCATATGATAAAAAGATCTTAAATCAAGTTCAATATTGCATAGTTTCTTGTATAGTACCGATAGAATAAGAGTTCCAAGTTCCAACAACAGGTCAAGAAGGTACAACCAAGATTTACGCAGATAATTTCTCAGTAAATGTAATTCGGCAAAGTGGGTAACAGAGAAAAATTATACTTAGCAAATAGGTTTCCTAATTTTTCTAACTGAGAAGAATTCAGAGTATAGGTGGATCACTTTTAGTTTTATTGAAAAAGTGACAAAAGAGGCAGCTTAATATTGATATATTTTTATAGAAAATCCATCGTATAATGCAAGCTTCAAACTATAACCATTGAATGCTTCCAAGTTCAAAGATAAAAATATATTAACCCAGGGTTATATGGTCCAAAATGTTGGGCAGTTAAGAAATTAGTAACAAGATGGATGTAGTACAAATGCGCATGTTAAAATAGGCATGCATATTCAAAGCCTCAAAGGAAAGTTTGGAGTTTCTAATAATAAGGGAAAAATAAGGAAATCAGCTAACATGGTCAAAGCCTCTAAGACGTCAACGGAGAACGCACCAGTAAGGAAGGTGGAGGTTATTGAGGATTAGATGACGTTACCATATTAATGTTGTTCTCCACATGAAGCAGTAAACTAGAGGAGGAATTAAAGAATGTAAGAGATTGTTGCAAGAGAGCATCATTATATATCACCACTCTCATAAACAATCATCTACATAGAAAATTGACAATAACCTACAGAAGAATGAACTGGGAGCTTTTGGACATATGTGGACATAGAGGTTGCCTAAGGAGGAGGAATTTTAAAGGGAGGAATGTCAAGCATGCAGAAATGCATAACAAAGGGTATTCATGTAATTATACATATGTACAAACGAATGTATATTTTGGTATTATTGGATAATCAAATGGTACCATTGAATATACAATGATACTATATATGCACATAATGGTATTATACATGCATTCAATTTTACTATATCAATGCATAAATAAATAGTACCACCGAGGATTCAATGGTACTATATAAATTTTCACTGGAACAATCAGCATGTGGTCTCCCATCACGTGATACAATCTGACCAAAAAATAGGTGGGGTCCACCTGCAGACCTCTCTCTTCCTATCTCTTTCCTTTTTTCTCTCTCTACCATGTGTTTTTAAAATATTTTAATCAATGTTATGTATTATACATAATATTTCTCCATTTTCACTTCCTCGTTGCCTAAGAAGCTGGATGAAGAAAATATTGGATGGCATGTTTAATATAGCCAAGGATCTAAATTATTTACAGCTAATTACGCAAAGAGTGAAGGCGTCTCTTCTTATATAAATTAATTATACTACATTCGTTTCATATTATGTGCATCATATTCAAAAAATAGATGTTACATATTATTTGCAACTATTTTCTTTCATTTTTTTTTTATTTTTTATTATTTTTTTAAGAAACTTTTTTCTTTCATTTTTAGATAAAATATCTCCGCTTAAAATTTTCTCTCCTACTTTATTACTCACATGCCCCTACCTAAAATTTGGTCCCCCACTTTCTCTCCCCTACTTTTCATAATCACATATTCACATGCCTCTAACTTAAAAAGTTGGTCTCTACTTTCTTTCTCCCACTTTTCTTAATCACATGCCCCTAACTTTATTAATCACCCCATAAAAGATTTTGCCTAGGACAATAAGCCAAGACATTTGTGGCAATTAAATGCAACAGCGGTAGTAATTACTACTCCATCCACCCAATTTTATTTACCCCCTTTACTTTTCACGATTTTCAAGACGCGTAAGGTTTATAAACTTGATACACAAGTATTAATAAAGTGTACAATGAGATGAAGCCAGCATACTCCCACATGACTATATTATCTCTCATAAATAAAGAGCCATTTATGTCAAAGTTTTTAAAGTGTGACTTAAATATTGGCAATGGAAAAAAAAAAAAAAATAGGGATGGAGGGAATATAATAAAGTAATAATAAATAATTTATTTTTATTAAAAAAAAAAGGTACATAAAAAAGAGCCAAAAGTCTTCCCAAGAGCCATCTTGATATAAGTGAAGTGTTACCAAAATTAGCACCACATGAAAGACAAAAGGTAAACCCTACAATAGCCTCAATTATTTTAGTTTTTTCTAAACAAAAGCAATGGAATAATGAGTGTTTCGGGTAAAAACAATGAGACCTTGTCAAAGGTCCTGTGAAGTGGATGAAAACTGGGCTCGGTCCAAGTAATGCAGAGCCGAGGGTTTCTTGCACAGCAAACACACGTAAACTGGCATCGGGGTGTGCCGAAGTCAGTACAGTGTAGAGAGAGAAAGTGTTATGCAAGAGAATTAATTGCTTGAGGCTATTTGTGAATGAATGCAATGTAAGGGAAATGAAGGCTTTATACCTTAGCACAATAAGGAAAAGTGGGCTTGAAGCCAAGTAGGCTTGCCACGTTGACTGGGCCCTTGGCCTGACTTGGCATAGATCGGAGAGTTGAACCTTTGACCTTGGACTTTAATTAGATCTTTTATGGACTAGCCAATTAGGCTAAATTGGACCCAAACAACTTGCCCCCGACGGGTCGGGTTTTGTTTAACGAAAAATGGAGGGAAGTAAATGATTTAATTAAATCAGAAAAGATTTAAAATTTGAACGCCATTAATGAGATAACGGCCTTTGGGTAATGATAAAGGGAGTTGGACGGATAATGGGTAGTTAATTGGAAGGAAATGCGTTTAACGGTTACTTAATGAAGGATTAATGAGAGGTTGAAGGCGCGAACTCCCAAAATTCCCTTTTCTGAAATGATTTAAGACGACACACTCTCACTCTCTCCTCATTTCTTCACTTAACCGCACTTTAACTTCACTCAAACCCTTTGATTTCGATACCAAACTCCATCGATTCCCTAAAATTAAGGCTTCGAAGTAGAATTTTGACATTCCAAACTTGCAGATCGGCGAATTGCGCTTCACTTCAAGGTAATTTACTCCGAACTTGATTCGGTTTTCTTTGATTTTCGAAGTACCCTTCCTTTTTCCGATTTTCTTTTCGAATTTCCGGCGACCTGAACCATGGCTCGAGGCCGAGTCCGACACCCAAGGGACAGAATCAGGCAAACCGGGGAACGCTCCTGTTCCATCGAAGAGGAAGGGATTCCCGTCAATCCGTTGAACACAGTGTCTCCCCAACAGAAGGACGAGGCTAGTACTTCTGGAGCGGCGCCTCCTCGAGGAACAGAGGAGGCGAGCACCTCCATCCAACAACCAACAGGAGGAGGTGGTCGCCGCGTTGCTGAATGGGGGCACCACGAGCACAACTGTGCTTTGCCCACCCTATTCTTGGTTGACAAAGAACGGTGAAGCTTATTGCTTTGTCAAACAAGTCGAAATTTTCTATGGCATCCTGGAGGATGGGTATTGGTGCGGAATCCCTGCCTAAACTGACAGAATCCATCATCCACCGCCGGGCTATGTGGGAGTGTATACTCGACAACTGCTGTATGAGCTTCGGTTCCCACTGCACCCCTTTGTTACAGAGGTGCTGAGCAATTACAACATCTCCTTGTGCCAACTGACGCCCATCAGCATCCGAAGAATAATGACCTATCTCTGGGGGTGTGCCTGTTCTATCGACAGCAGTGTCCACTGCTTTAAGAAGTTGTATCGGCTTGTGCCGAACACCCAGAGCAGTTACGGTGAACATGGTCCTCAGCTGGTGGCGAATTGAAAGTCTGCCTGGGTACCTAACCGTGTGGCCGAACGACAGTTCGGACAAGGAGTGGCGAGGCCGGTAGAACTGGATTATGGCCCCTTCAGACCCCCCGCCATCCGAACTTCTTCGGCGTGCCTCGATACCTATTGCATCCTGACCCGAAGATGCAAAACTTAAGGCTTGAGGGGCACCTAACGCATGCTTGATGTTGTCGGCCTCAGCCGAAAATATAAAGACAGTATGTGCCTTTGAATGGGCCGATGACTCACTTTTCTTACTTTAAATTCATTTCAGTACTTCGGCATGTTTTTGCTTTGCACTTATGCTTATTTTTCTCCTTTTCTCAGTATTTCACGAGGGCAACATCGGCGTGAACAATCAGCAGCTTGGGATAAACGATGGGAGGGTTGTGACCAACAATCAGCCCTCTATTACTGATTCAGCGCTTGCACTTGCACGCCAAAAAATTCGTTATCACCCCGACTTCTGAATACCTGAAGCAAAAGCCTTGGTGGCAAAAAGAGGATCCTCTCTTCCGCTAAACCCCTGAGGAGGCAAAAGTTGCTGCAGAGGAGCCAAAGGAAGACTCCGAAGACGCGAGGTTGCTGGATACCACAGTAAGCTTTCTGACTTGTACCTTTTCTCTTCTTCTTTCTTTTTTTTTTAATTTTTTTTTTATTTTTTTGTTTGTCTCACGTCTTGCCCCCCTGTCCTCTTCTAAAGCTGGACGAGGAGGAAGAGGAGAAGGATAATCCTGAGGAGGAGGTTCTTTCGGACGAAGAAGAATTGATGTTGAACCGAAAGAGAACTGTCATAAACTCCGGATGATTCGGGAAGCACCTCTTCCGAAGAGACCTCAAAATCAGGATGCTACGACCCTTGACCCTCATGTGGATAACGCCCCTTCTCTCTTCTTTCTCACTGAAATTCAAATTGAGGCTGGTCTTTAGCTGAGGGGGAGAAGGATGATGATGTTGACGTGGAGGTCGGAGGCTCCACACATTTTCACTTATAAGGAGCTTAGGACGCTGCCGAGGAACTGTTGAACACCGCAGGACTTAATGCCCTCTTCTTCGGCGGCTCGCTCCTTTGGGACCTTCCACTCCTCTAAAATGGGGTTTGGTACCGCTCCAACGGTGCCTCTGCCTTCAAAGGCTCGGCTCGTGCTGGATGAGTGGCGCCCCCATGCCTTTGCCTATTTTGGCGATCCTGCCAACAATTTTGAGT